GGGATGTTATATCTGATACTGTGTGGTCTTCCTGCCTCTGCCGGCCACAGGAAACCAGGATACCAAACACCCAATCCAAAGCCTGTAAGGTGTCATTAACCAGGTCGGGGGCAGAGTTACCCGGAGGACCCCTGCAGGACTGGAGAGGCTATAGATTGTCAAACCAGTCACATCCTGGCCATGTGCAGGTGGTAGTTAAACAGAACCTTTTCCTGGGATCTTACTGGAAAAGCAATTTAAAATGTGTCTGGGTAGCATGGGGCCTGAGCAGAGTGTGTGTGTCTGGGTGTTTCCTGTAGAAGGTTTGAAATCTTAGTGCTAGGCCCATCTGTAGGACAGCAGTAGGTGTCAGTGGGAATGCAACTTCTTCCTGCAGAAGAAAGGAGTTAGTATGTTTGCATTTTAAGCTCATAAACAGCTGCAGCCTGGACCATCATCGCAAGCACATTGGGGCTGGAGGTGCTAAAGGCTGCTGTTCGCCAGACACTGTGACAATTTCCAAGCTGCGGTCTGAAATACTGTATAAACTTCCAATTTGATTAAGATTTTGTTTTGTGTTTCTAAACAAGGAAATTGAGGAGTGTCAAATTAATTTTGTAGTCTTGGTCACTTTTTAATTCCAGTTGGCCATCCCAGCCTAGATTTGTGCAAATACTGATTCCAGGAAGCAGTCGAAGTACTAAACTTGGTAAATAAATGTGTTTATTTTACAAATGGATTCAAGATGGAACACCCAGCACTTCTCCAGGGCATTTCTGTCCCTGCCTGTTCACTTTAGCAGCTTGACCAAATGAATTCCCTTCCCTTAGCATAATATTTAAATGGACTTCTGGCATCTGATGCATTGCCTGCTGCTCCAATTTCCTAAGAAAGTCATTTAAATAGATTTTGACTATCTCGCATCTACTATGAAAGCCAATCCATTAAAAATCCTGGTCACTTCTCTCTCTCTAATTTTAGATGAGCCATGTGGAATTATTGGCGTTTGAGAAAACTCATCTTATCAGAGCTGAAAGTTTTGGATTTAATTTTTAACAATCTTTTTTTCCCCCTTTTCGAGATAGAAAAATGAACAAAAAGACAAATAAGAAAAGGTTGCCCTGGGAAGTTAACAAGCTGTCAATAGAGATTTCACTACTAAATGAAACTCCACGTTAGATTTTTGGGGGAAGATTCCCACCTTCCCTTCTCCCGGTTCCCAACTTTCCCTCTCTCCCCCTCTTCCCATGCCCAATAAGAGGGAGGAAAAGAAGACTGACAGGTGTCCTGCCTTCTAGGAGTTTGAAGTCTGGCTGAGGCGACAAGCTCAACCCATTCAGAGGGCAGCCCGTGTGATCTGGGTAATTTGCTGAGCACAGGATGAGACATGCAGAGCAGAGAGGGTGAAGAGATCGTCAGGCATTGGTCAGGGACCAGGATGTGGGGTGTTAAGTTGGTCTGAAGGGATAGTGGGAAGCGGGTAAATAGAGAGTAAGGGAGGAGATGCTGACAATAGCACAAAGAAGGCGAATACAAAGGGAACAGTGGCCCCAAAAGGAAGAAGTGGAAAACGAAACGTAGAGTTGGAGGGCAGGGACTTGGAGGCCAGTGTGACTGCATCTCCAGAAAGAGAGGGGTCATGCCTGGGATAGTAGGGATGGGGCTGGAAAAGCAGAGTGGGGCTAGGCTGGCAGAGGCCTTGCGATGGGGCCAAGGAGGTTGGATTTCGTGGTGTGGGATGGGGTTGTGCCAAGAAGTGGTGGAGACTGATGAAGCCCAAGGTAGAGAGGCTCCTGTTCTCAGTGTTCTTGGGCCCTGGGCGGCGCATATGTTAAATCACAATGTGGGTCACCAGAATGACAGCTTTCTGGAGGCAGGAGGCCAAAGCATTTCTCTAGGCGGGAAGAGGTGGAGAATGCTGCTGATTGGGGTTGGCTGGAAGGAGTCTGGGAAGAGGAGGGTTTTGCGAGGTAGAGGGAGCAGTCCTTGATAATGCTTAGACCCATCTTCTACCGCAGGAAGATGATTATTAAAGCAGCACGAGATCCTACCTTGGCACTCAAGATGTATGAATAAAAATACATTGGTCACCAAATTTACTTCCTGTTCCCTTTCTTCCCGTTCAAAATAGTAATTGATGCTTTTTTTTTCAAACAGATGTTCTCAATTTTTTAGCACATTGTGGGGTTGTAGAGCATGTGGGGGGCAGCAGCTGGCGATAACATCTTTTATTTTTTATTTTCTGGCTGTGGCTTGGAGTTAGAATCAGGATTTAGAAATGAGGAAGCCGTGGCTTGTGGTCCTGCATCCTGACATCTTGCACTGCATCTCAGGTAGCAGTTGTCCTTATGGGCAAACCTGAAACCTGTCGGCAAGTAGGTTGCATCTTTATATTATGTAAGTTATACCTACTTGTGGTAAAAAAAGGAAAGTTTCCTTCCTCCAGTTTCTTTCTCCAGAGGAAGCTACTGTTAATAGTTTGGTGTTTATTCCTTGTCTTTTTCTTTCCTGTGTAAATGATAATGCTGATGACAGTTAATTTTTATTGGGGGCTGTTTATGTGCCAGACACTATTCTAAGTGCCTTACACGTATGAACTCATTTAGTCCATAATTAGTCCTATGCGGCAGGTATTACTGTTTTCTCCATTTGACAGACGAGGAAACTGAGACACCGAGAAGTTAAATAATTTGCTCGAGATCACATAGGTAGTAGGAGATGAAGTCGGGATTGATACCCAAGCAGTCTGAGTCCTGAATCTGTGCTCTTAATTATGACTTTCTGCTGCTTCCATGATTGTGTATAATATATACGCCACGATGATATATTTAGTTCTTACCTAAAAAATAAAATCATATTATACATGTTGTTCCACAATTTGGTTTTTTTTTTGTAAACAATAAAGATATGGACATTTTTCCATGTCAATACATATAAATCCACTTTATTCTTTTAAAAATCTGAATAGAATTATACTGATGTACCATCATTTATTTAGTGAGTCTCCTATTGCTGACCATTTGGGCTCTTTCCAGATTTTTGCTGTTGTAAATGATATTGCAGGGAACATCCTAACAACAAGAGCTGCAGCAACCGCTACAATTAATCCTGAATAGTAAGCTTACCATGAAGGGGCTTCCATTCTAAGCCCTTTCCCTGTATGAACGCATTTAAACATGCATCTTTGTGTAAGTGAGCAAGTATATCTATGGGCTAGATGCCTGGAAGTGGGGATGCTAGCTTAGAAGCCAAGTACATCTAAAGTTTTCATTGCAACTGCCAACTTTGCCTCCAAAGAGGGGCCATTACTTACTGGGTGTCAACTTTCAACTTAACATTCTGTTGGGCATTATTTAGAATGCACAGGATAGGGGCCCTCCCAGAGGTCTCCTAGGGTGGAGAGACAACCTGGTACAAGTCACCAGGTGATTAAAACAGGCTTTACACTGAGCAAGGCTGGTGGCATAGCTGGAAGCACTACAGGAGCGCAGGGAGAAGGGAGGTCTATGATGGGCGGAAGGTAGCAGGGGAGGCTTCAGCGAGGAGATGGGCTGCAGGAGGCTTGGAAGGATGGACAGATTTGGCAGGGATGGGGGACGGGGCAGTCCTGGTGAGGGATGGAGAAGAACAGGGCTGCAGGGAGGAAGTGGTGTAGCTTAGGGAATAGCCAGTGAGTCAGTGGGCATGGTTCTGACTGAAGCAAAGGGTGTGTGCTGGGAAATGGCAAGCCAGTCTACCGCCAAGAGAGAGTAGGAGAGAGGTAGAAGTGGAAGCCCACCTCTCCTATTGCTAACTGTTTTAAGTTTACAAATAAAGCAAATAAATTGCTAAAATATGTCCTATTCTTCTGCCTTGACACAGGAGTCTTCATGACCACCTGAAACACGTTTGACTTTAGAGTTCTCAACTGCATGGAACATGGCACTGGAAGATGGTGAATTGTTTCCAGATCAGTGCAATTCAGAACGACAATAGGGCTGGTGATAATCCTATGTATTGGCCCTAGTCACTGATGAGTTCTTCTCTTCTGTCAGTGCTGAAGCATGCTGGTAGTGTAGCTGTTTTCAAGAGCAGGCAACCACGGCCCAGAGAAGGTGAGTGTGTCCCCTGGACACGCAGCGGTGAGAACCCCCAACCTCTGACTTGAAGTTGAGACATGGAAATGGGAGCCTTCCTCTTCCTCCTCCCTCCTTAACCCAGCCCCAAGCAAGCAAGAAAGAAACGCAGGTGCTTGCCTGTGACTTTCTGTTCTGCAATGGAAATGGCCTCCAGTGTTTTTGTTTCACAAGCACAGTTCAGGTCTGACTTCAATGTTACAATAGGGAAGCGAGGGTGATGGTAAGAAACCCAGAACTTGGATGCAAATGATTGAGCCATTTTTAATTTGTTCAGTCTAATCAGGTAGGGGAAATTCTATATTTAAATATAACTGGCCGCTTTGAACCACGTATGGAGGTAGCTATGTAAGAAATGTTTGGTAACACATTGCCCAAGTTGTAAAATTCGTGCCTCTCTGAGCAGGGACGTTCAAAAGAGAAGTTTCTCACGGTGATGCTGACATACTCGCGTCACCTCGCACATGCAATCCTGCATCATAAATAATGGATTTACAAGCTTAACCACTACTCAGGACTATTACCACGTGTGGAATGTGACTGAATTAATGTCACTGTGAGGCTCTTAGCTTTTGCCGAGGAGGTTTCCTTTGCCTCAGGCTGGGGCCAGGAAGGGGCAGGCTGGAGAGAGCCCTGCCACCTGGGCCTGCAACTTTGCCGAATGAGCAAAAACACCGCTTAGACGCAAGGATCTTGAGCTCCACGAGCCCCACAAATCATGGGGAGAGAGAAATCAAGCATTAAAATCATTCCCAGATTATTACTGACCGGAACAGTCTGGAAATTTTAGAGTCTTTCTAAATGTCGGTAGGGGCCTCCGTGAGGTCCAGCGACATGGTGGCACTTGCTTTTACTGCTGCTGTTTCTCCATTTCTGGTTTTACCTCCTCTAATCCCTCTCAGGCCGGGCGTGGAGAGCTGCTTTCACCTGGCTTTGCCCAGAGCTGCAGGGAGGCCTTGGCAGAGAGCTTGGTGGCGGGTAATGTGTGTAGCCTGGGGCACGACTTTTACTCAAGTCCATATGGCACCGGGGTAAGTCACACCTGTCCTAACCTCTCCATCGAGGAGGAATTGGGTGAAAAGGGACTTCAGCTGTAGCAAAGAAGGGGAGACACAAGGACATCATGTGTGTGTGTGTGTGGGGGTGTGTGTATGTGTGTGTGTTTTGGGAAGACTGGAGGAGGGCCGAAGATGGCACTTACAGGTCCTGGTCTGCGGCACTGTGCCTGGTCTTTGAGGCAGTGTCAAGCCCGTCAAAATGGGTTCCAAGGCTGACCTCAAATCCTCATGCTCTGTAGACAACTAGCCACCATGCACTCCTCTCCCCACGGAACCGCCTGGGGTGCTGGCACGGGCACGTGGTTGTCTGACAGGGAAACAAGCGTTTCAAGGACGGCGTGGTTGGTTTCACTTTCCTTCAGTGGGAGGAACTGGAGTCGGTTGACCAGCAAGTTGCTGTTGCGTGCCTTTTGTGTGTTCTGCTGGGCTGGGGGCTGTGGGGGATGCTAAAGAAGTAGAGCATTGGCCTCCTCTGGAAGACTCAACCTTTGGTTGTGTGACTGCGGGAGTACACACGTTCTAAGGAGTGGCCCAGGATGCATCATGGGTGCCCAGTTCAGAGGACGGAGACCTTAGAGGGGAAAGCAGTTGTAGTCAGGGCAGACTTCATGGAAGAGGCAGCCCTGAGCTGCTTTTTCAAAGGAGACAGAGGATTTAGACAGGCAGAGAGAAGTGGGATAACTTAACAGAGGCAGGAAACTCCTCAAGCCCTGATGATCTCTAGCCCTGTAGGGAAGTCACAGCTTTTTTGGCCTGGGTTCAGGATGAACCTCTAATGTCAACCTGGACACCGGTCAGCTGAAGACAAAACTGTCACCTTGCGCTCCTCCCTGCCTGTCCTGCTCATGACAGTCACAACAAGTTTATAAGCAGCATTATCCCCCCAGAGGCAGGCAGGCAGCCAGCCTTTGCCACTGGTGCAGAGAGGAGATTCAACCAACCGAGGATCCTGCCAGAACAGGAAACCGTGAGCCGCGTCTGCCTGACTGCATCCTCTGAGGCACTTTCCCACCCTGTTCCTTGAGAGACGAGCCTTGGCGCGGCACCTGCCTCCCTGTGGATGTGCAGACGTGGCCTCCGGAAGGTGAGAAAGAGCCCTGGCTGACTTTTCTGAGACTTATTGCCTGGCTTGTCATAGGAGACTGTTGCCCCTCAGGCAGCTGTGTGCCCTGGGTGAGTGACTTCCTCTCTCCGGACTCAGTTTCTGAATCTGTAAACTGCGAGGGTGGACCAGATGGCCTTGGAGGTCCCTTCCAGGTCAGCTCTCTCCTGCCCCTCAAGGCAGATGGGGCAGGTGGGGAGGGCAGTGGAGCAGAGAGGAATTGAGAGGAATTCCCCAGCAGAGCTTCTTGGGAACCACTCAGTTCCCCATTCTGGTGCCACCTGCTCAGAGGTTGTGGGTGAGAAGGGTGCTGGCCTTGAAGCTGCATGGATGGGTAGCTTGGCCTCCCCAGATGTGCCCTTAGGCTTCTTGGGGTCTGCTTCTGGACCATCATGGAGCCCTTTCTTAGGCCTCTCTGGACTCACTGGGACAAGTTTGGTCTTGGTTTGAGCAGACAGCTGCCTGTGGTCCTGGGGAGGGAACTATCGCCCTGAGATGTTCATGCTGTATCTTGTGATTGCAGCAAGGGCTGTGTCGTTGACATGGTTGGGATCTGCAGGTCACTAGACACAGGTCGAGGGGAAGTGCCTCTCGTGGACTCCTGGGTGCAAACATGTCCTCACGCCCACAGTACATGACATCTGCAGAGCTGAGGTCAGAAGACCCTGCCGGAGGACTGCCCTGATGCTGGAAGGTTCCTTGAAGAATGAGGCCTGGAGAGGAAAGATGACTTTCCAGAGTTGCACAGCCAGCTGGGTACACAGCTGCAGCTAACTCCAAGTCTCCTGACTCCCAGGCCACAGTCCACGGGGCTCCCTCTTCCACCAGATTGAAAGGTGTTGGGAAGCTGGGCATACCACAGATTGAAACTTGACCTGCACCCCTGGGGTTCAAATCATTCTCTCCAAATGTCAGAGGAAGTGAGAGTGCAGGGCCTCTCTTCACATGTTGGAGCTGTAGGCGGGGCACGTGCTCTCAGCTCCAGGCAGGGCAGAGAAAGTTGTGGAAGGGCAGCCAACCAAGAAGCACTTAGGTAAGCCTTTGTGTGTGCCCAGTCTCGAGGTAGGCATTGCAGGGCATGAAGGAGCTTTAGGGCACGCACCTCACACAGCAATTTTACTGCAGCTGGTGAGGCAAATTCAACTCCCCAATTAATTGCAAAAACAACTAAATGTAAGCTCCTGTTTGTGTAATAAAATAGAAGAACATATATTTATATTTGCATAAAGAAAATCTGGAAGGATACAAAAAGCTAATAAAAGTGGTTAACTGATCAGTCACATGACAGGAGTGGGGGTAGGTAAGATGTCCTTTGTACCTTTTGGTTACAAGGATTTCTTTTGAACTATATGATGTATCATCTTTGCAAAAAATTAGGTATAAGCAACAATAACAAAACCAACCAATCACATGTTGAATTGAGTGACTAGTGGCCAAAGGAACTCAGAAAAAGCAGAGTTCAGAGGGTCTCCTAGAGCCTTCTCCGGCTCCTGGAAGATTACAATTAGAAGGGATTGTAGGTGCCATTTTTCCTGCTTTTCCACTCAATGCTGGATGTCTTGTACAACTGCCAAGACATGGCCCATCCAGTGTCGCTCGCCCAATAATTCCTGAGCCTCATGACAGCATGCACAGTGCTGTTCTGGGGATCATGATACACAAAGAGGTTAGTCTCTGTCCTCAGTGGCCTTATGTTCTCCAAGTGCATCTTTGACTGAATTGCCAAGGAGATTCTAAGTGTTGCAGGCAAAAAACAAGGTGCTAAGGGGCTCGGAAGAAGGATAAAATTAAGAACAGCAGCAGTGTTAAGGTAGCATTTGAAATAACTCTCAAAGGGTGAGTCACATTTTGACCATCAGAGGGCAGGAGTACCAGGTGGAGAGAGCATGAATAAAGACACAGACGTGGGCACGGTCAGGGAGTTTTCAGGATTGGCTGGAGATTAGGTCACGTGTGGCAGAATAGTGGGATGGAAATCTGAGTGGGGATCATATTGTGGACTGTATGGAGTGGATTTTCAACAGAAAATGGGGAACTGATAAAGATTTATGGGCATGTGCTTGAGTTCTAGAGATTCTCCAGGGAGTGAGCACTCTGCTTCATCTAAGAACCCACCAGCAGCTTCCTGGAAGCAGTAGGAATTGAGCTGGACCTTCAAGGATCAGTAGAATTTAGAAAGCATTCTTGGTGGGAGGAAGAGTGTAGGTCCAGTGTTGACGGGCACCACTGAAGGACTTTGAGCACGAGAGAGCATGTTGACTCTGTGCATTGGAAAGACAGATCTGTGCTATTTAGGACAGAATGGAGGAAGGATGCATGAGGCAGGGCGACAGGTGAGCAGGCTTTCTGCATAGCCCCAAGGCAAGATACTGACTTAGGTGGCAGTAGTGGGAATGGAAAGAGGCAGACACACTGGAAAGATCCATTTGTCTCCTAAGGCTAAGGTCCTCTTTGCTTGCATTTGACCCATTTGCCAGTCCTGAAGGAAGAGATCATCCTTAGCTCAACAATCCAAGCTCTCTGCTTACCAGATGTTTTCCTGGGTCATTTCTCCACTGTCTGTGCCACTGGCAGGGAGTGGCAGCCATGGTCACCCCAGCCCTGCTGTTCGTTGCAGTTTGGATTGTGTTTAGATTGTGTTGGTGGTGGGATAAACATTTCCATCTTGGGCATCTTCTGCCAGCCTGGAGGACAAGATGCTTAATGGTGATGAGAAGCCACTACTACAGCTAGACTCAATCTTCTCATTTTGCATGTAAAGAAACAGAGGTCCAGAGAGTTACAGGAGCATGCTCAAATCACAGAGAGAAGTAGGGATGCAGGAGCAGAACCAGGCCTTTGACTCCAAGTCCTGGACTTTTTAATTTTTTATATACCTCGTGGTCTCTGTTGAATAATGCTAATATTTACTGGGCACACACTGTGTGTCACACATTGTGTTAAAGCTTTCATATCATCATGTAATCCCCCCGGTGACCTATGACGTCGAGACTGTCATTATCCCTATCTTTTCAGATGAGAAAATGAAGGTCAGAGACATGAAGTCATTTTCCCAAGGTCACACAACGAGGAAGTTGCAAAGCTGGAATTTGAATCCAGGTCTGTCCGATTCCAATTATCTGTCCAAGTATAAGGAACCTCCTTAAAATTATTAATTAAAAACAATTAACACTCTCGATAGAAGTTCTTCTTTTAACATTTACTGTTTGAGAAGATATAGTGAACTCAGTAATGTCCTTAAGGGACTTTGTATTCGAATAGTCAGTGTCTACACACATTTTGGAAAATAAACATTTGGGAAATAATAGTGTGTGTATATGAAGACATGGGGGGAATGAACTTTTAGAACTCATCAGCTGGGTGGAGGAGGTAGTGAGTGAGGCGGGGGAAGGTGGTGTCTTGGGAAGCACGGTAAGGTGAGCAGTCTGATTGGAGTGAATTTTTAAAGCTTTTTAGGCGTCTCAGTAACCTGACCCACCAGCCTGTGGGTATGAATAAAGTCACACATTTGATTGGCTCATTATTCCCACCTGCATGACTCAGGACCTTGGGCCCCTCACGGTAGTACTCCTGAAACTCTCTGAGAGACATCAGGTGTAAACAAGCTTGTACCTGCTGATGGACCCTGATATTTGCTGTATGTCTTGCTGTGCTCCCCACGTTCTGCTCAGTGCCTCGGCTCCAACCTCCTGATGTACTGGAGGCCTGAGGTCTGTGGGAGAGTAGGAGGAGGGGAGGGGCAGGGCACTGCTTTCCTCTTTCTTGTTAGAGGCGTTTGTTGTGAGGGGGCCCCACCAAAGAGCTGCTTGAGCACCGATGTGTTACAGAGTTTAGGGAAACATTTGTTTCTAATTTTTAATTGAGTATTATTTATATTTATTAAAATGTGCAGATCTTTAGTGTTCAGTTCAATGAGTGTTGACAATTGTATATGCCTGTGTAATCAAAAACGGTAGAGAACACCCCAGAAATTTCTTTCATATCCCTTTAGGGTCAATTCCCCAGTCCCAAGGGAAAACCACTTTCTACTTTTTATCATCTTAGATTAGTTTTAACTTCATCTAAATGGAATCAAACAATATATACTCCTTCGTGTCTGGCTTCTTCCACCTGAAAAATGTTTTCAAGATTCATCCATGGTGTTGCATGTATCAATAGTTCATTTTTTTTTTCTAGGAAGCTTAGCCCTGAGCTAACATCTGCCGCCAATCCTCCTCTTTTTGCTGAGGAAGACTGGCCCTGAGCTAACGTCTGTGCCCATCTTCCTCTCCTTTATATGTGGGACTCCTACCACAGCATGGCTTGATGAGCGATGCGCAGGTCCGCACCCGTGATCCGCACTGGCGAACCCCAGGCCTCCAAAGCGGAATGTATGAGCTTAATAGCTGTGCCACCAGGTCGCCCCTCAGTAGTTCATTCTTTATACTGTTAAGTTATATTCCATCATATGGATGTGCCACAATTTGCTTTTCTATTCCCCTAAAGATGGATATTTGAGCTGTTTTTTGTTTTTGATTATTATGAAAAAAGCTGCTATTAGCATTCCAGGACAAGTCTCTTTTATGGAAGCATGTTTCCATTTTTCTTGTGTAAATATTAGTTGTGAAATGCTGTGCCGTAGGACAGATGTATATTTAACTTTATAAGAAACAGCCAAGTAGTTCTCCAAAGTGGTTGTACTATTTTATACTTGCACCAAGCACTATGTGCACATTTTACTTGCTCCCCATTGTCTCCAATGTTTGGCATTGCCAGTACTTTTTATTTTAGTCGTGCTAGTAGGTGTGAAATTATGGTTTTACTTTGCACTTCAAGATGTTGTTGAGCACCTTTTCATGTTTAATTGGCCATATCCTATTTTGTGAAGTGTCTTTTGCCTATTTTTAAAAATAGAGCCGTTGGTTTTTAAATACTTGATTTCTAGGTATTCTTTGTGTGTGCTGGATACACATCCTTTATCAGATATATATATTATAAACATTTTTTCCAGCCTGTGGATAGCCTATTCATTTTCTTGATAGTGTCTTTTGATGCACAGAATTATTTTTATTTTGGTAACACTCCATATACTATGACTACATAACAAATTATCCCCCAATCTTTTGACTTAAAATAATAACAACATTTATTTTGCTTGTGAATCTATAATTTTGGTAGGACTTTGTAGGAAGAGTTCGTCTCTGCTCCTTTTGGTGTCAGCTGGGATGGCTTAAAGTCTGGGGCTGAAATCATCCAAAGGCTTGATCACTCACATGTCTGGCCATCTTACTGTCAGCTTAGATCTTAGATGGGGCTGTTGGCAGGAATACGTACCACGACCTCTCCATGTGGCTAGGTTCCAAGGATGAGAGCATTCTGAGAAAGAGAGAGAGAAAGTCAGATGGAAGCTGTTTTCCTTTTCTGACCTAGCTTCAGAAATCACATAGCATCACTTCTGCTTTACTGTAAGGGTTGGAGCAGTTACAAGGTCACCCTGGTTCCAGAGGACAGTAAACTGGCTCCACTTCTTGGGTGGGGCGTGGCAAAGTTTTAGAAGAACATGTGGGACTGAAAGTATTGCTGTAGCCATTTTTCGAAAGCAAAATCTTCTTCAGACTAATTCTTATGCATCAATTTACTCTTTGTTGATTAGTGCTTTTTGCAATCGTTCTAAAAAATCTTTGCCTACCTCAAGACTGCAAAGATATTGTTCTATGTTTTCTTCTAAAAGCTATAGGGTTCTACTTTTTACGTTTAGGCCTATGATCTATCTTTCTTGGATTAATTGTTGTGTAAGGAGAGAGGTAGGTGTCGAGGTTCACTTTGTTTTTCATATACATACCCAGCTGATCTAGCATCATATGTTAGAAAGACTTTGTTTTTTAACAAAAGTTGAAATCAATTGACCATATATGTATGGGTTGATTTATGGATTCCCTACCTTGTTCTATTATTTTTCTATTTTTACATCAATTTCAAACTATAGCTTTATGATAAGGCTTGAAATCATATTGTATAAGTCCTCTGAATTTGTTGTTCTTTTTCAAATGTTTTGGATATTCTATGCCTATATAACTTTTAAGACTTAGCTTGTGAATTTTTCAAAAATGTCTGCTGGAATTTTTATTGGAATGGCGTTAAATCTATAGATCTATTTAGACAGAATGGATGATTAATAATAATTTGTCTTCCAAATCATGAGCTTGGTATATCTCTCCATTAGTCTATTTCTTTAATTTCTCCCTGAAAATAATTTTGTGTCTTGCACATTTTTCAACAGATTTATTTATAGATAATTAATGTTTTTTATATAATGTAAATAAGATTTAAAAAATTATTTTCTGATTATTCTTTGGTACTATGTAGAAATTAAATTACTATTTGTATATTGGCCTTGGATCCTGTGACCTTGCTAAATTCATTTATTAGTTCTGCTGCTTCTTTTGTAGATCCCATAGGGTTTTCTACCTATGCAATCGTATTGTCTGCAAACAGCAATAGTTTTACTTCTTTTCTAATAGTCATGTGTTGTATTTCTTTCTCTTGCCTGATTGCACTGTCTAGGACTTCTACTACAATGTTGAATAGAAGTGGCGAGAGTGGATATATAAATATGATATTAGCAGTAGGTTTCTTGTGGATCCTCTTTATCAGATTCTTTTTATCAGATGTGAAGATTCTCTCTTCATGTCTTCCTATATATGTATATATATACAGCTAAATTTGTTTTGCTAATATTTGGTTAAGGTCTTTTGCATTTATGTTCATAAAGGATATTTGTTTATATTTCTTTAATAATGTCTTTGTCAGCTTTTGACATCAGAGTTATATAAGCCTTATGTAACAAGTGGGGAAATGTTCCCTCCTCTGATTTCTGAAAGCGCTTGTGTAAGATTGGCATTAATTCTTTCTTAAAGGTTTACATAATTAATTATTGAAGTCATTTGGGCCTGGGCGTGTCTTTGTTGATAGGTATTTTATTATGAGTTTAATTGCAGTAATAGACATAGGACCATTTTGATTTTCTATTTCTTCTTATTTCAGTTCTGGTAGGTTTTACTTTTCAAGAAATGTTTCCATTTTATATAAGTTGTTGATATTTTGATATCCATTTGTTCATGACATCCCATTGTTATTCTTTTAATATCTGTAGGATTTGCAATGATATCTCCTCTTTTACTCCTTGGTAATTTGTGTTTTCTTTTTTCCTTGACCAATTTCCCTAAGGATTTATGAGTTTTATTAATTTTTTCAAATATCCAGCTTTTAATTTTTTTGTTTTCCCATTTTCTATTTCATTTATTTCTGTTATTAATTTTATTATTTGCTTTCTTCTACTTAATATTTGTTTTAAACTAATGTTTTTTCTTGCTTCTTAAGGTAGAAACTTGTGTCTTTGATTTACTCCTTTCTTTTCTAATATAGGCATTTAAAACTAAATTTCCCTCTAAGCCCAGCTTTATCTTCATCCCACAAATTTTATGTTGTATTTTCTTAATTATTCTATTAGAAATATTTTCTAATTTCCTCTGTGATTTCTTCTTTGACTTATGGGTTATTTAGAAGTGGGTAGTTAAATTTTGACATATTTCAATATTTTCTAGGTATCATTGTAATTGATCTATAACTTAATTCTCTATTGTCATCAGAGAATATTATTTTGATATTTTGATATGATTTTGAGACTGATAAATTTTTAGTATTTGTTTTATGGCCCATATAGTCTCTTGGTGAATATTTTAGGTGCACTTGAAATTAATGGCCATTTGCATGTTTTGGGAGTAGAATTTTATAAATGTCGATTATGTCAAGCTGTCTAAAAGTAGTGTTCAACCCTTATACCCTTACTGATTTTTTTTTTTGTCTATTTGTTATACCAATAACAGAGAGAAGGATGTTAAAGTCTCCAACTATGAATGTGGACTTCTCTATTTTTCTCTTTAGTTCTGTCAATTTCTGCATTGTGAATTTTGGAACCCTACTGTGAGTGTATACACATTCAGGACTGTTAGATCTTCATGTTGAATTGACTCTTTTACAATTACAAAATGCTCTCTTTGTCTCTGGTAATTTCTTTTGTCCTGAAGTCCTTGTCTGATTTTGTTTCTTTAAAGATTTTA